TGACTGTACCTACCAACTCCCTGCCCACAACTTGCATGAATGTGTTCCAATTTCCCCCCTAGAAGAACACTCTCGACACTTCTCAACTTCGCTCACTTTCCACCTAGCTAAGTTAATTGGACCTGAGCAAGAAGCTAAGTCTAGATGACTCAATCTGCCAGATGTCTCCCCACTTCAAATGGCGATCTGCGACATTTTCCTCACACGTTCATCTACCTTGCTGAGCCTGAGTTACTGTCTGTGCTACCCTTCTTCCTTCTTCGATCTCCCTTACTTCATCTGCAACAATGTTTCTACGTTCTTCCACACTACCTTTCGAAAACCACACCTGACTTTCCCACCCTAAACATTTTCTATCCATTTGCATTGTTCCTACAATCTAGCCTACTTTCTACATCTGCAACTCCTGTCCTTATGTCCCACTTTCTGCCTGATGTGAGTCAGACCGAAACACTTTAGTCATACCCACAAACAGATACAGCTTGTTCTTCATGAAACTGACTATTTTTGGTGTGGAAAAGAGTGCACCTTTCAACCACCTATTGATCAATCCACTGGCATACAAAAGCGTGTTAAAAGTTAAGTTTCTCATAGGATCCACACATTCCAAAATAAAACCAACAGAGTACTGATTATTAAAATCACTAAGTACGTTAACAGAACGTAACATCTGAACAGAGCACATTTATATTAAAGCTTTGAATAACAACATCTAGGTCGAAACAACTGTTTATTTCCTAGTTATAATTTTTGTGTACGTATAAGTAATAACAGAGGTCGCTACGATAGTTTACCACTTCTATACCCTACCACTGTAGCACTTCACTCACAGCTATATTTATCTCATAGGAATATCATCAGGATATTGTTCTCCTAGTTGTTACATAACAATGTTCTATGGTTGCCATGGGTACACGCAAAACAACAGAGTGCAGGAAGTACTCGCTTTGTTCGTCTTTGTCCAATAGTTTATCTCGTGACGTACTGTGAAAGAAAACGCTAGATAATTCTGCCGTAATCAAACGGTCACTTAAATTTTGCTGCTTTGCAATTTAAAATTTGTCAATATAGGGCAAATATTACTCGATAATGTTTCGCGGACAGTATCATTTGCGAATTTTATTCAGAGATATCTTTATCTAATAATTACTGTTTGTTTGTTTGAAGTTATGCACAAAGCTACACAATGAGCTATCTTTGTATCAAGCCCACCACAGGTATTTAAACCCGGTTTATAGCGTTGTAAGTCCGCAGGCATGCCGCTGTGCCATTGGGGGGCAAATAATTACTGAGTGATTTACAATCCCGAGTTTGAAGTAGGGAGAACAATTCTGAAAAAACAAAAACAAACAAACAGGGAATGTTTGTCTAAACAATGATTTTTTCAGCTTACGTATCTTTTTCTTTTTTTTTTGGAAATTGTATTCTTGAGCAAAATAATGAAAGCTACACGAGGGATATCTGCGCTAGCCGTCCCTAATTTAGCAGTGTAAGACTAGCTAGTCATCGCCACCCACCGCCAATTCTTGGGTTACTCTTTTATCACCGAATAGTGCGATTGACCGTCACATTATAGCGCCCCCACGACTGTTAAGCGTAAAGCTACACAATGTGCTATTTGTGCTGTGCCCACTACGGGTATCAAAACCAAGTTTTTAGCGTTATAAGTCCGCAGTCTAACCAGTGGCGTAGTGAGGGCACTTGGCGCCCTGGGGCAAAAACCTCAATTTGCGCCCCTTTCCATACATACATCCTCATTAAAATAAAGATATCTCTACCGTAGCCTACTGTACAATGACATTTGGCAACCCCCCAAGATCTGCGCCCTAGAGCATTTGCTCTACCGTGCCTATAGGTCACTACGTCAATGAGTCTAACAGATGTGTCACTGAGGGCCCACCAAGAGACTGCTCTACAATCTAAGCTAAAGGGTTAGGCCCCTACTGCTGGCTATTAAGGCACCTTTTTAACAATTCAAAGTACCACATTCTGAAATCCCATTTAACAAACAAAGCCCATACTGGTCCGGCATGGCCAGGTGGTTAGGACGCTTGGCTCGCAATCTAATGGTCCCGGGTTCGAATTCCCCATCCCACCAAACATGCTCGCCCTTTTAGCCGTGGGGGCGTTATAATGTTACGGCCAATCCCACTATTCGTTGGTAAAAGAGTAGCCCAAGAGTTGGCGGTGGGTGTTGATGACTCGCTGCTTTCCCTCTAGTCTTTCACTGCTAAATTAGGGACGGCTAGCGCAGATAGCCCTCGTGTAGCTTTGCGCGAAATTCAAAACAAACAAATTCGGGCCTAACTTCAGAGTTATGAGATGGCCACACGTTGGGCAGTAATGTGGTAACTTTTTCCGCTATGTATACATTTCCTTTCTTCGGATTTCAACCCGAGACCTTTCGCCCACCAGGTGAATGCTCTAATAGATGAACTAAAGAAATACCCCACCCCCTCCTCCCCTTACCCAACGCATTCTAATAACGCGCTTCTTAACAATTTAAACTTCTACACGCGTGCCTGTTAGTGGTTCTGAGCTGTGGATGCGTTAAAGGATGATCTTCAAATCCCACTTTTCGATTAGAATACACAAAGAATTCGTAGTAGGTACAGCTTACTATCAGCTATCACTTTATTATTTTCAAATTAGTGACAGCTAGTGCAGAGTTCCATGTGTAATGTGTAGCTTTGCGCGGATATCCTTTCGAAACACAATAAAACAAAAAAGTTGTTACGATTTATAATCTAAACATAAAAATAGTTTTATCGTTAACATATTTTTTTCTATATTATATCGATAAGTTGTTAGAAATTTTATCGAAAATGTTGATTACATACATTTTATTACGATTGTTTGAAATTAAGCACAAAGCTACACAAATGACTATCTGTGCTCTACCCACCACGGGTATAGTTGTAAGTCCACATACATACCGCTGTGCCACTGGGGGGCCTTTTTTTTATAACGGAATATGAGAAGGTATATGTTCGATAAATATCTTTTTTTTTTCTTTATCTTCACAAAAATAAATCTCTGAATTATTTTATGGTAAATACAAGAAGAATGAAGGAAATTTCCGTTTTTTTTGTTTGATGCTAAGCACAGAGCTAGATAATGAGCTATCTCTGCTGTGCCCAACACGGGTATCGAAACTTATTTTTAGCGCCACAAGCCCTCAGACTTACTGCTGAGACACTGGGGTACCTAGATGGAAACGTGTAAAAATAAAACGATATATAAGTGCACCAACAACAACAACAAAAAAAGGTTAACATTTTTCATCCCTGTAAATATTTAGTTCTGAAAATTTTAAGAACGAGTGACCAAAGACATTCTTCATGTAAAATTCAGGTGATAACATTCGTTTGAAGCTTTTTCACATAGGTATTTATACGTGACATTCTAACCAAGATTATGAACTCATGAGATCGCAAAACGAAGCCTAAAAGACATCGAGAACTAAGATTAATATTAAATACTTATACTTCTAATTTATGTTCAGTCTTAGTTAAAACATCAAAACTCACTGTGGTTTAAGTAATCTTAAATAAAACCTCAACATCATCAAGTGCTTAAATCCAATCTCAGTTAAAACTACCAATAAACTTAGTAAACAGTGCGGCCAATTTAATATAATAGTTTAACAAGGAGTACGCAATGCCATAAAACAGAAGCATAAAATGATGTTTGATTGTTTAAGTCTATGCACAAAGCTACAGAATGGGCTATCTGTGCTCTGCCCACCACGGGTATCGAAACCCGGTTTCTAGCGTTGTAAGTCCGCAGACATACCGCTGTGCCACTGGGGGCTTGCTGTTTGTAATTAAGCACAAAGCTACAGAATGGGCTATCTGTGCTCTGCCCACCACGGGTATCGAAACCCGGTTTCTAGCGTTGTAAGTCCGCAGACATACCGCTGTGCCACTGGGGGCTACTCCATACAATGATCAATTCAGTATCCTTGCTCTTATCGATAATTTAGGCCGCAATCCTAATAACATTTCACTAGGTTTGGTCAGCTTAAGAGATTCAGGTTAGTCCTAAATCTATATGCTAAGCCAACAAAGCAAATTAACTCTCATGGGTGTAAAAATAATATATGGAACATCTAGACAATACTTAAGGACGCCACGGAAACATTAAATAAGACAGGAGTTTTCAAAAAAGTACCAGACATTTTGTTAACTTGTCGTCAGAAGGAAGAACTTTTCGAAGTTCACGACTATGATCGCACGGTCTTTCGACGTGGTGTATAACGATAATGTTTTGGTTACTTGTGATTTAGCCGATTTAATGGATCCAAGTTGAACTTTATGACACTGTTGACTAGTCACTAAATCCTACGATCTATTAATTACCATTACGCTAGCGACGACATTTTACAGTGAAAAGAACTGCTTACCTGTTGTTATGTCCGTTAATATTGTAGGCTAACACCTATCATGTATGAACAACTGAAACACGTTCTTAGTGTCATAAACTAATATACAAAATAACTAAAGTCTCTACTGATTAAAATGTATAGCATTATCAGTTGTGTGTCCTAGCTGTCAAAAATATTTTCATCAAAATCCACAGAAAAAAAATAGCTTCGGTAGTAATGGCTCATTGATAATGGCACCGGTAAAAACAGTTCCAATAAGAAAGGCAGTGTGCGTGTGAAAGTGACTGTTTCTTTCGAGAAAAAACAAAGAAGCAGCAAATTGTATGTTTTTGATTTTAGGTAATAAACTCTTCCCACTTACATTATTACCACATACCATTTTTGCCAATGTCTTTGATTCTCAGTAAAAAACCTGCGCGGTATTTTGTACACTTAAACTGTTCTTTGAAAGAGAAGTAGTACAGACAGACAAAGTCTTATTTAGTACACTACCTCCAAGAACAAATTCTTTTCCCTAACCAACACTCCCATGAGTGTATATGTCAGGTACTGCGGGGCCTCACAGGAGAAGAAACTACTTTACTATTATTACTTGTACAGAGCTGTAACTTACCTCGCCTGGTAGAATCCTGAACCTGTTTACCAAGGCTGCATCTACGTCACTGAGGTGAACTAGTTTGGGTCTAGCTTTCTCTTTGCGGTCGCTAAGCGACCAGATAGTCTGATGCTGTAATACCCGCATGTTGTAAAGATACTGCTTCAAGAGTGTGATAATGGTTATATGTAACAGTACTTAAGCATGGTCTGTGTTATTGTCGGTTAAGAATTTTTTTAAATTCCTTTTTGGGGAAGAGAATAAGAATGACCCGTGTTGAAAGGGCGTCACCAATGTTTCAGAGGTGAACTGCTACATTCATATAAAACTGAAGGAGGCAACTGTAACGACAGACCTGACAAATTAAAATTTCTATCTCTTGAAAAGCACCTGAATCATGTGAATGAGATCGAGGGTGTAAAATTAGATAAAATCAAGTAAGAGTTACATCTCAATTAATATTTTTGAAATTAAAAAAAATGTAAATGAAAGTAAATAAACTAACAGAAAAAAAAAGTAAAAATCCTCGGCTGAAATTACGTATTAGGCTTTGGCACTCGACATTAGAACGACTGGTATTTCAAACGTGGCTTCCTTTTAGATTTTAAATGTATATTTATTTATTTAAACTGGAATCATGAATAATACATTCCCCAGTGGCACAACGGTATGTCTTCGGACTTACAATGCTAGAAACCAGGTTTCGATACCCGTGGTGGAGCGTGCCAGGCTGGATGTTAGAAGGTTCAAAATTCGCGGCGTAATGCCAGACTTTCAGTTGTGAGTGCGTTATAAAAGTAACAGTCAATATCATTATTAGGTTACCAGTCGGAAAAAAAGCCCCTACGGCGGCAGATGTTGCGAACTGGCTGCCTTTCTTCTCATAAAGAGCTCAAATTAAGGACTGTTGTATCTGAAACCCTAGAGGTCTCTGGATAGTATCACATTTTTAGTTATAACTGAAAAAGGTTATGTGGTTGACGTCACCAACCGGGTGTACTTAAGTGTCGTGTACAACTGTGCTGAATACCTGATAATGCCACGTTAACAGTGGCGAAACGTTGTTTTTAAATAAATAATGCATTTTTTTTTCTATCCCATTTTAGCTGTTTTTGAATATTAAATTTTGTAGTGTGTGGGATACCTCCAACATTTATATTTATAGAAAAAAAGAGTAGGATCTTATATGAATATTTCAAACGTATTTTAACTTAAATAGGTCTATGAGCACCCGGGCAAAGATTGAATTGGTGTAGTATGGTTTTTAACCACTCTTCTTACACAACATATGAAGCCAGAAAAAAATTCAAATTTGCTAAAGTTTTTAATTAAAATTACCCCACTTAACTATTTATAATATGGATAATTCTGAGTCATGAAGAATAACTTATTTACAAATGTTCATATATGGGTTTCTTTTGGAGAACGAGTATACAATTTCCTATATGTTAACATTTTTGAGCATTTTAAAGAATTATATATTTTGTCTTTTTCATGTATATTTTCAGGTTTAAAAGCAGAGTACATCTTCTCTTGATCCTAGTAGGTTTTCTTAAACAGTTAGTTGATATAGGTCTTTATCTTTAGCTTAACTTAAAATATTACCATCTATTAAATAGATGGAGTCAACAATTTAAGCTCCAGAAACAAAAAATAGTTAAAACAGCAATAAATGAGTGCCATAATATTGCAAAAAACATTTCAACTGTACGGACTACAAAAACAAGATTTAACCAGATTGTCCTATTGGAAGTCTGTGGGCCAGTAAAGTTTGTTAAACGTAAAGATGCACAATGCGCTATGGTCATCGGAGGGATCAAACTTCGAATAATAGCCCTCAAACTTGCCGCTGAGACACCGGGAGACGGGCAATTAAAGAATTACACAATTTAAATTGTATTTAGTTTCACTGTGATATAATATCACACACACACACACACACACACATGTTATTAATGATATGCCAAGCTCCCCCAGATAAGGAGTTTTGCAAAATGTCATTAGTTAAGGTATACCACAAGATATTGTTAACTATCATATAGCAGCTCAGTTCAGAGCTTTCAAGTACAAAGAAATATCGTTAAATTCCGATCAGTTATTTTTGTTTACTTTTAAAAAACCAAAGCCACATTTGGCTATATGCTGTGTCCACAGCGGGGAATCGAACCCCGGATTTTAGCGTTATAAGGCCGTAAACTTACCGATGTCTCACCGGGGGGATCTTCTGATCAAAGCAAGCTGATCAGTACAAAAAGTTAAGTAAAACTAATGGCACTCGCTATACTAAAATTTCACCTCCCGTAAGCATGGGGGAAGGAAGTGCGATTCCAATCCTTAAATTGCACCCATATATCGCATAAAGCATATTTGAAAACAAACTCATGAAAATACCATCAAAATACACCATTTTTAACGACAGTTACAAACATTTTCTAAGGGAGGCGTACCTCCAGACTCTCTAATATGACTTATCCACTCATTTTGTTTTTCCTCAAAAAACAGCATGCTTTCTGTATAGATTTATGCCTACGCTACTAGGCTTAGCTTCTGCAGTATCATTCCGTACTATTTACAAAACAACAACAACAAAACAAACAAAAAAAAACAAGAAAAAAAAAACAGAGGGGTTGCTTTCAGAACGCAGAGTCTTCTTCAGGTGTGATTCCCAGCAGTTCAACCTCAAACTGACGAACGAATATATATAACTTCCGAAAGCCTTCTGGTTACGAGATTACTTTAAGTGAAACAACTTTTGTTCTTGTATTCAAATACAATCAAATTTTCATATTTAAAATACCTTGTTTGTTTGTTTGTAAATTAAGCACAAAGCTATACAATGGACTAGCTGTGCTCTGCCCACCACGGGTATCGAAACCCGGATTCTAGCGTTGTAAGTCCGCAGACATACCGCTGTGCCAGTGGGGGGGGGGCTTAAGATACCTTTAGCTATAAAATATATTGCAAAACGTTTATTCAACATGGACTAAATGGTTAAACCACTGAACTATTTACTATCTATATTGCTCTATTGCACATGCGCGTTGAGTTAGTAAATAAGAGATTTATTGTTGAGCTTTTCTTAATTTCTGGTCTCCAGTGCGTCATGTTAAAATCCAGGGTTCATTTCTCCTTGGTGGACAGAGTGCAGATAGCTTATTGTGTAATTTTGCACTAAAACATACAATTAACAACAAATTTTTAGTTTGAGTTTGAAAGCGCTATTAGTGAGTTTATAAAATTAGATTACATAATCAATACCGCTAAAAAAAAAGGTTAGTTATGCTTGGTCAGCTAATTTAAAATATATGATTCTTAGTGGAGAGGTCCAGCCCAGTCTTCATGGTAGTGATTTAGATTTAGGTTTAAAATTTAAAATTAACATTTTGATTTTATTTGATCGTGTGGGATGGCTTCCAATTTAGTGATAGTTTCGATATAATTACGAGGGCAGGGAGTCTAAAGAAAACAGGAAAAAAAGAATGGAGGAAAGAAAATTGGTTAATGATCACCTTGAAGTGTATTTTAATCTTGCAACCAGTAACAAGAAGATTAGACATAGTAGGTACAGAATTACGTCTATATATATAATACGATATCTGAACCACGTCATAATCTTGGCAAAAAATACAGAATCGTACATAAGATGGTTGTTTGATGTAAAGCACGAAGCAACACAATGGGCTATCTGTACTGTGCCCCGAAACCCGGTTTTTAGCGGTGTGAGCCCGCAGACTTACCGCTGAGCAATTATAAGCGAAAGAAATAGCAAAAAAGAGCTACAAAATTAGAACAGATATGTTCACAACATCCCACATCTAATATTACATCATCTGTAACTAGTGTTAGGAACACAGCGTGCCAAGGTATAGATCTGAGGTTCCTTGGTTCGCGTTTCATTACCGCCAAAACAAAAACAGGCACGCCGTACTTTGGGTGTGTGTGTGCATTACAAAGATGACGGTTTAATCCCACGTTTTGGTCTGACAAGAGTACTACAAAAGTTGGCGGTGAGTGTTGTTGACTACCTGCCTTCCCTCTGGTCTAGCACTTCAAAATTAGGGACGGCTAGCGCAGATACCCCTCGTGTAGCTTTCTGCGAAATTCAACAAATAAACGTTATGAAACAGAAAAGCAAGAAAAACACGTTACGACAAACGGGCCACTAGGGATAAGAAGTACAATATATTTCCTGAAGATGGCATTCCAAAGGATATAATAACCGGATAATTTTACGACCAGCATAACGAAACTTGGGGTGATTAATGGTCGACAATAGCTTAACTGGTATCCTAAGCAGAAATTAAGGATGCGTCCCTATACACCCTGCAGCCCCGAGAATTTGGCGCCCTAGGCAGCTGTCTGTGTTATCTATCTTCAACGCTATGGCTGACTAATATTATAAGAATTATATTTGCCCTACTTATTCCAAAAAAATTTAATAATAACACGTCTACCTTGCTAATACGAGAAAAACCAGAAGTTTGTTTTTAGAGCAAAGAAACATTGGGCTATCCGTGTCCACCGTAGAGAATCGAATCTTGGATTTTTGTGTCGTAAGTCCGTAAACTTACCGTTGTCCCACCGAGCAACAAAACCAGAAGTAGGTGATTAACCACACGTGATTTAGATAAAAACATAGTAAGTTTCAGGAGAACGTAATACCAAAATATTAAGTTATTTAACAAAGATAACACAAACAGTTTAAGAACTATAACATTATATAACTTACTCAATCAATTAGGAAAGTTTCAGGAGAATGTAATACCAAAATATTAAGTTCTTTAACAAAGATAACGCAAACAGTTTAAAAACTATAACATTATATAACTTACTCAATCAATTAGGAAAGTTTCAGGAGAATGTAATACCAAAATATTAAGTTCTTTAACAAAGATAACACGAACAGTTTTAGAACTATAACATTATATAACTTACTATAAGAATAAGATAACGGGTCCACCAATTAAGAAGTTGGTGTTTCTTATATGGAAATATATGTATTGTTTCGATAAAGTTCAACCAATGAACAAACAACTAGGCACATATGTAA